ACTGGGGATGGAGCCTGCAACCCGGGCATGTGCCCTTGACTGGAATCGAACCCGGGACCCTTTAGTCTGTAGGCTGATGCTCTATCCACTGAGCCAAACCAGCTAGGGCTGGGATTTTGTTGTTACAATCTCCTGATTTTAAACTGTGGCCACCAATTAATACTTAAGAAAAACACTATGTGGGTCAAACAGAATGAGCCTGTGGGCCCTGTGGTCTCTGAGGGTTTGACTCCCGTGTGCACAGCTGTGACCTTGACATTCAACTCCCTCACGGAGGAAGCGTGGTGTCCACAGCCCACGAGCTGCCGGCATGAAACTAAAACTTGAATGGAGCTCAAGTGTGCAACCGCTAGGACTGGCCCCTAAATGAATCTCTCTCCTTAGGGATCCTGATTAGGGTTCAATATGTTCTTTAAACATTGGATTGGCTCTCCTCAAATGAACTCCTAGGAAGTGCTCCTAGAAATCAAGGTCGCCCTGCCACAGCCCAGTAGACTTTCCGCAGGTCCTAAAACCTGTTCCATTCAAGCTTTAGACCACAAAGGGTGAAGGAATGCTGTTGCTTGGGCCCCAAATCCCTTGTTCCCCAGGGAGTGAAGTATTTCCTTCCAGTCTGTGTTGCTTTCTGCTTTTCTATGTCTGACTCACAAGGGCATCCGAGGCTGCACTTGAGCAAGGGATCTGCGTTCCCTCCTGTCTCTGAATAATCTCGACACTTTTTTTTTTTTAAGAGAAAAGAAGGGAGGGAGAGAGGGAAGAAACATCAATTTGTTGTTCCACTTATTTATGCTTTCGTTGGTTGCTTCTCGTATGTGCCCTGACCAGGGATCGAACCCACAACCTTGGCGTATCAGGACCACGCTCTAACCATCTGAGCTACCCACCCGGTTGCAGGTTTTGCATAGATGTCACTGATTCCTCCAGGCTGCGGGTGGAGGGATGTTCTGGAGCTTGGGTGCCCCTCGGGTCAACAAGCCACCTCCAAGGCAGCCTACACTGACGAATTAGATGGGCCATTTTCTTTTCTTTTTAAAAAAATACATTTTTATTTATCTCAGAGAGGAAAGGAGAGGTAGGGAGAGAGAGAGAGAAACCTCAGTGATAAGAGAATCATTGATCGGCTGCCTCCTGCACGCCCACGCTCTAACCCACTGAGCTACCCACCCGGTTGCAGGTTTCGCATAGATGTCACTGATTCATCCAGGCTGCGGGCGGAGGGATGTTTTGGAGCTTGGGTGCCCCTCGGGTCAACAAGCCTCCTGAAAGGCAGCCTGCACTGATGAATTAGATGGGCCATTTTCTTTTCTTTTTAAAAAAATATGTTATTTATCTCAGAGAGGAAAAGAGAGGGAGAGAGAGAGAGAAACCTCAATGATAAGAGAATCATTGATCGGCTGCCTCCTGCACGCCCCCTACTTGGGGATCGAGCCCGCAACCCCGGGCATGTGCCCTTGACCGGAATCGAACCCGGGACCCTTCAGTCCGCAGGCCGACGCTCTAGCCACTGAGCCAAACCAGCTGGGGCTGGACCATTTTCTTGAGTTTTCCTTGGAATGCACTTCCCAGACTGTTGGTTTTTCTCGAGTCAGAATTTCCTTGAAGAGCTTCCCTGGCTCCGGTTTCCCCTCCGCCCTCCCCCTTGTCCAGTCTTGTGATGCTTCTCTGGCAGGACTGGCCGGCCTGAGCCACTCGGGCCAGTTCTGAGCTCCCTTCCCAGCCTGTTTCCTCTCCTGCAAGGTGCGAATCCTCCTGTTTTCCAACTGTAACCCGGGGACCTCAGCCTCCCCACATTGAAAGTGGAGGTGATGATACTCCCGTGGGGAGGAGTGAATGGAATCCTGCAAACGGTGGGGGACACTGTCCGGCCAGGAGGAGGTGTTAATACAATCCCTCCTCCTTGCAAGTTAGTCAACTTCTCGGGTTGCAAGCAACAGGCCGAGTGAGTGACAGGCCGAGTTTGAGAGGATGTTATTAGAAGGACACAGGGAAGCCCTAGCCGGTTCGGCTCAGTGGATAGAGCATCGGCCTGCGGACCGAAGGGTCCCGGGTTCGATTCCGGTCAAGGGCACGTACCTCGGTTGCAGGCTCCTCCCTGGCCCGGGCTTGTGCAGGAGGCAACTGATCGATGTGTTTCTCTCACATCGATATTTCTCTCTGTCTTTCCCTCTCTCTTCCACTCTCTCTAAAAGTCAATGGAAATAATATCCTCGGGTGAGAATTAAAAAAAAAAAAAATAGAGGGGATCCTGGGTCGCCTGGGGGACCAGGTGGCAGCAGCTTCTCCCGACGAGCTGCCGGACAGGGCGGCCCCGGCTGGTTCGAGTTCTCTGCGTTGTCTCCTCTGCCTTCAGATCCCCGGGGAGGAGATCTCAGTGGCCAGGCTGGCCACGCTCAGTGGCAGGTTCAGGTCCCCGAGCTGTCTGAGAGCTGGGTGTGAACGCTGGGCAGCTGGGCCCGGCTGACCACTGCTCTCCCCTTGGGGCGGGGGCCTCCCTCACCCTCCTCCCCAGGGGCCTCATGCCGTGTCTGTGCCCCGTTCTAGATGCCGACAAGAGGATCAAGGTGGCCAAGCCGGTGGTGGAGATGGACGGCGATGAGATGACCCGTATTATCTGGCAGTTCATCAAGGACAAGGTAGTTCCCTCCGGAGTGGGTGGCAGCTCTCCCTGTGGCGGGCCAGGCTCAGCGAGCCACCCAGCACAGGTCCCTGTCCCCCC